AAGTCACTTTTGTCTGAATCGTCTCTATATTTAGACGTTTGTGTGGGAGTGAAGAGTTTTAATGAGACTTGTGTGTTGTCATTGTCATGAAGCTCAGTAGATCGTAACTTTGCTGTGATGTGTTTTGTTTAGAGGCAGTCACACACACACACACACACACACACACACACACACACACACACACACAGACATCGTACCCGTCTATAAACTCAACAGCATCATTTGGTCTTCTCCAGAAATGACATGTATGATGTCGGGACATTAGAGCCGATCCTAAGACGTCACAGGGGGACACATTCAGGACACCACTCAGGACGGATGTTAAAACCAGTTCTGAACAGGTCCTACATGTTGGCCCTGTGGCACAGCGGCGACCCGTCCAGGATGCAGCCTCCCTGTGACCCTGGAAGGTTTGAAGAGGCTAAAGGATGGATCGTTTGTTCACCACCGTTTTAGAGGTGTAATATCTCGACATCTGTATGTGGCAGATGTTCGCTGTGGTCCTTTTGGAGCTCCTGTAAGACTTTGTTTTGGATTTCACCGATCATACATCTGCTCAGTTTATATTTTCGACTGTTCCAGATCTCCTCTTGAATCCGAAGAGTCTGAAATTTCATGACAGGAAAGACGTCCATGTGCCAGATGTTGCTCAGTCACTTGTTTATGTGGAAGGAACCACATGTGAAGCGGATCATTATAGGAAGTGTCACTTTACAGAATCACGTTAATGGCTTAATTTCACCATTTTCCTGTGCTGGGAATAGTCCCATTACTGTGCGTGTGTAAACACAGACGGAGCATCTCCTGCTGAATCCACTTCACTCTGTTTGCGTAGCTTTGTCCTCAATGATCCTTTGTCTGTCAAAAGCTCTTAGCACTTCCATCCAGAGCCCTCTGCTCTCTGCATTCATTATTAATGGACCTCAGTGGGCTGAGAACACACACACACACACACACACAGGACCTGCACATCATTGGTGGCTATTTTAGATGAGATATTAAATCAAACACTCAAAACATAAAGGGGGGGGGGGGACATTCACTGAGGGAGCGAGGGATGAAGGATGTCTTTGTCTTTTTAGCTCCGTATCGGAAAGTGTCACATCACATATGTCCACGAACTAATGTTATTGATTTTACCAGTAAACAAACATTTGGAGATTTTCAATAAAGTGACAGATGCTGATTTCAGCCGTGACCCTGTATTTTGCTTTTGCCCTTCACCTCTGACACTATCATATAAATCAGTCATGACAGCCCCCGTCACAGAGTTTGAAGCTTCCTGATTGGATGTTTCTCATTGACATTGTTTTGTTTACAGTCTTGTACATTTGGGACTTTTCGTCAGTGAAGCAGATTTTTCTTCAGCTCAGTGTTTTTTTTCTAGCGATGATTCGATTGGAACGATTCCGTGTCCTCGTGTCCATCCAAGTGTTGAATTGCTCAAACAGTCACAAAACAGCTTCTATGAGAAAAATGAAGTCGCTCCACTGAGTGTGTGTGTGTGTGTGTGTGTGTGTATATATGTGTGTTATCCGATGTGACCTTTCTCCATATGGTGTGGGACTGAGCAGGGGGACAGGAGGTGAGCCCTACACATGCTATCAGTCTGAGATGTTCGCCAGCAGCCACTGACACACACACACACACACACACACACACACACACACACGCTGCAGGCCCTACATGTCATTGTTACCTGATATTCATGGTCGGCAGGAGAAACAGACGAAGGAGAAGGTCGGGTGATGTCAGAGACGGTGCATTCACTGCCGGCCGTGGGTTTGATTGCCGCTCGCTCCTTTTCCACAGCCTCGGGCTCCCTCTACCCTCTGTCCTCCACGCCCACAATCCTCAGCATCAGTCCAGCCCCCGCCAGGAGACACACAGACCTTTCTATTTTTGATTTCTAGTCCAAGTGCAAACAATGGTACAGTACGCCTTAAGAAATAACTAGCGGAGCTTGTGTTCACTGTAACGGAGAGATCTAATACTCGTGGTGATATAATTCCACAAAGCACTGAAAAGGAGAGAATGGAGAGAAAAAATCTGATTTTGTTTTCTTGGAAAACATTCTTTATAGTTTAAGAAATATTTTCCGCAGCAACAGCCCAAATCTTTCAGAATAAAAGCATCATCTACCCCAACTTTAATGGTCCAGAAAATGTATTCCTGTTTAAAAAATATTTTCCCTCTTGTCCCGTCCAGGACTCCGTAACATAATGAATTATTTTTATTTTATTTTTTCCAGCCTCGGTTGGTTAAGTGTAGTTTTGGTCAATATTCCCATGAGTTGAGACAAAAATACTCTCGTGACTAAGCAACGAAACAAATAGCAGATGAGGTGAGGCAGAGTTTCCTCCGGGCGCTCTTGAAGTGTGTGTTGTCGGATGTGTTGAATGTCAGTACGTCATTTCCATCAACCTCATGCAAACAAAGACATTGACGAGCATCAAGCCAAAGTTTTATTGCTGTTATGAAAATGTTTGTGAATTCAAACTTCCAGAAAAGACTCATAAGTGAACTTTGAGTTCAGAATATTTCAGCACAGCTTTTTATTCCTAAACAGGAAAATGAGTTATTGTCGTTAAGACACATTTAGAATGAAGTTTTTCAGTTTGGTCAAAACCATGAAAAGATGGAGGACATGATAGCACCCCAAAGAGATGCTTAACAATCTTGATCGCCCCCTGTTGGCTGGCTGTGATATCGGTCTTAAACCCTACCTCTTCTATGTTAGTGGATGGGACATGGACCAGATTAAAAAGTAAAATTCCATGTTTCTCAAAGAAGGTTTCTGTTGTTTCAGGTAGTTCTTACATCACTCTGATAGTTTGTGTCACGTCACGTCATGATTGACAGCTGTAACCGACTCATGTTTGGTTGATCAAACTCAAACAATCACGTTTTTCTGATGTAGCTCCTCCCCTCTAAACAGTGCAGCTCCGCCGTCCTAAAACAAAGCGTTTGTTGAAGTCCCAGATCATCTCCAGCGTTGTTTTCCGGATACATTAGCAGTGACTGATCTAATTTTAAAAAGAGCTATAATGACCCCCTTCAGCATACCCAACTAGATATTACGTTACACACAGCAATTACTGCAAGGAACACAAACGCTAACGCATCGCGGCAACAATCTGGACAAAGTCTAACCAGGAGCTTTTCCCCTCGGCTGTAGAATCAGCTTTACAAAAGACTCCGCTGCTGGTCGTCATCTTTGTTACTTTACATTCTTGCTTATCGTTTTCAAGTTTTCTCATAAAGCATTGTAACCCCCCCCCCCCACCCCCCGAAGAAATATCTTTGATTTAAATTCATATGCAAATAAGCATCCTTAGGAAAAGGGCATTTTTTTTAAAGGGAGAAGAAAGAGGAGAGGGAAGTTCAGCTTATCGCCCCTCAACAGATATTCAGACTAAATGTGTTGGTTTGGTCTTGTCTCGTCACTGAGGCTGAGCGGAGTAAAGCTGCAGTGCTGGCGTGTCTGAATGGACCGAGTCAATGAGCTGCAGCTAAGAGAAAAAAAACTCTTGTATAGCTGGTTGTAATTTGCTCCAGTGACGGAGGAGGACAGTGGCGAGGGATCAGGGTGAGGAGCCAAAGTAACGACACGGTGCCGGAGGACGGCGCCAGAGCCAGGTAGCTTAAAGAAAGAGCTGAGCGGACGTTACAGCTGTGGACTCACCTGCTGCCTTCTGACCGAAACAAACAGACACGAGACTATTTCAGTATCTTGCTTGAGTTTGATTCCAGATTATTTTCCTGTGATGGAAAAGAGAACATTTAATTAGAGTGAAACAAACAAAAACGTGATATTAAAAAAAAAGAGAAACAGAAAACCATATAACAGAAATGGACCATGGCGACAGCAGTGATAATGTACTGTAACAGCACTGCACTGAAACTGAGTATTCAAACATCTGGTTTGCATCTGTTTTCTGTGCAAAGCATCCACAGATTATAGGAGCACTCTTTAAAAACTTTTAATAAGACTTGCTTTTAGTTTACGTTTTATATTCAACACCTGTGAAAACTATGCTTTTATAGCTCTAGGTATCTTCTATAGAGGCTGCACATGTGTTATTCTACCTGTGGGAGGACAGAGGGGATTTCCATGTGTTGCAGGTGGGAGAGAACAAAGCAGGATCAGGGTGAAAATCCCAAGTAGACCTCAAACGTGCCGTCCTCATGAAATTAAAGGGAACCAAAACACTTTAGAGAGAAGAGCTTAGAAAAGTGGATTTGTGACGGGGAGGTTTGGGCCCGAATCCCTTGAAATAAAGTGGCAGGTCCCTTTGAGCAAGGTGCTGGACAACTGCGCTGGTGCTGAGCTGCTGCCAGAAGCTGGACGTGTGTAGTAATTGGAAAAGAAAGCACAGATGTCTCTGTTATCTGTGGGTAAAGGTTGAATCAACAGTTATGGAAGCACTTGCTTATTTCTTTCTCTTTATCTCCCTTCCCACTCCTTTGTTTGACTTTCCCTCATCATCTCGCTCGCCTTCCTTCCTTCCCTCTATCTTGTGATATAACTTCCATGGCTGGTTGATTTGGGTGAGCAGAGGGAACAGGGAAGGCTACCACAGTTCAGGACTCCAGAGAGCTCAGGCGGGCAGCAGCAATCAGTCACCGACTAAATCCCTCCTCTCTCAGGACCATCGCATGCCAGGTGACATGGTCAACAGCTGCAGAGAAATAGCCGACAGCGTGTGTCTGAATTTAAAAAGACTGGCAGACAGAAAAGAGGAAAATCGTTAAATTCATTGTAAGAAGGTAGATTTTCCTGACAAGCGCCCAAATTCACTGAAAACAAAAGGTGAAGGTCACAGGAGGTTTTCAGAAAACAGCAGAACTTCTCAGGGTGTGTACAAGGTGTGAGACGCAGTAAATGTCAACCCCGTCAACATTGTCGTCTCCCAGTCAGGACAAAGGTCTTTCTCAAGTCTTTTCAGCAGAGTAATGTAGAGATCTGTTGGATTATAAAGAGCTGTTCACCTGTATGAATGCGACTGGACGTTAATAGTCAGCTGGTGGTCAAAGGAGGCAGTGTAAGAAAAGCTAAATACAATTTAAACCTTTTCGTACGAACCCGGTTCAACTCGAACTGTCAGGGTCACTCTAGTGTACGAGTTGTACGAAATCCTTAGTCGACTGAAGTAAAGTATATTATGTTTGACTCTGGATTTGTTTGTGTCTTGCAGACATGTCTCGAGTTGGAGCGGTACCTACAGACGGAGCCTAAGCGACTCTCAGAGCTGTTTGATGAGGAGCTGGATTGTCTCTTAACACCGGCGTTCATGCAGGGCGGTGACAGCGATGAGGACCTGATGGACCCCCTCCTCCCCACCCTCCCTGACCAGCCCAGCCCGCCCCCACTACTTGTAACTCTCCCCAAGGTCCCAGCCAAGATCCTCTATGTGCCCAACCCCAGCAAGACCCAAGCAGAAGCAGGGACTGAAACCGTCACGACCAAGGAGCAAGTCCTCGGAGGAGTCAACGCCGCACAGCTTAGTGCCGCCGTTACATCCCTAACGCCGCCGTCGTCACCAGAACTCGGACGCCACCTCGTCAAACCCACACAAACACTGACTGCGACGGCAGACGGTACCTTAACACTCAAATTTGTGGCAAAGAAGGTGGGATTAGGGGCCGCAAAGCTGGTGGCAGCACGAGCGTTACCGTCCCCGCCGAGCAGGGGAGGGACCGTCAGTGACAGCGAGCAGGGAGGAGGAGGAAGTCTGGGAGGAGACGTACCGGAGAACAAGAAGAGAGTCCACCGGTGCCAGTTTAATGGCTGCAGGAAGGTTTACACCAAGAGCTCCCATCTAAAGGCGCATCAGAGGACCCACACAGGTAAGACCTTCAACAGATTCTCTACTGGTTCCTTCGAGTACTTTGTATTAAGAAACTAACATTTTAAACCACGACATCTCTGCACTCCCGCTCCTCGGATATGAATTGCAGCAGTGATGGTGAGGTAATGGTGCCGTAATTATGTTATTGAGATTTATACACCACAGATTTCGTAGCCTTTTGTGTACCTGAGGCTTTTGAACAAATTTGCAACATGAAAACACTGCAGGAGATCTCGACTTCTCACAAAACATGTGTATGACCCATGCATGGACATTGATCAAACCTGACAATGTTGTCATTACTTCCACTAAGGAGGTTTATTTGACTGTTTGTGAGTTAGACACAAAGTTAGATCACATATTGAAAACGATGACTTCTAATTTATACAAGTTTTCTACATTTTCAGCAGCTTTCACTATAAATTGAGGACTATATATAGAAATGGCTGCAACTCCTGCACTGTTAACACACAGATAGTAGATAGTCAGCATTTCTTCTCCATAGTCTGTGTTCCCCCATTATGCTGTCGTTAAACAACATGCAGGATAATATACTCAAACCTGGAGCTTTGATTGGGATCCAGCAAACATTGATCACCCACCTTCTGTAGAAATCTGCAATATATCTGATATTGTCTGATGTTTGAGATCATTTAAAAAGAGACCGCGTCCTCGTCATTTATTCATTTTCTCATCAGCTCTGTACCAAAAGGCCCTGCCTCAATAATTGCCTGATGATTACTTGACTGGTAGTAAATGACCTTGTGAATCCAGCCGTGTCCAGCTGGGTCTGACTTGCAGCTTCAGCTGCTAACCACAGCTGCCCCGTCACTGACCCTCAGACTGAACACACACCAGGCTAATGTAGCTGTGAGCTCTCTGCAGTGTGAGCGAGTGGAGACGGCCTTTGTGTTGATGAAGACGTGTTTGACCGAGGCAGGTTTGACTGAATACATGATTAGCTTGAGCTTAAATAATATTAAGTTCCCTGAACTCAATCCTACTTCAAATCAGTCACGATAAAGAATATCTGGCGTATTATTTTAAGCAAGCGCTGCAAGGGGGGTTCTTGGTTTGAATCCCATTTCAGCCAGGGTCGTTCTATAAGGAGTTTCCATGTCTGCATCAGTTCTCTCTAGGTTCAGCTCCTGCCGTCCTGTCCAGGCTGTACCTCGCCTCTTGCCCAATGTCAGCTGGGGGGAAGTACTACAGAGAAAGATGGATGGATATTGTTCTGAATGAGCTAGAGCTCAAAACACACTGAAGCAAAATCTCCAATCACTGCAGGAAACTTTCACCACAGGAAAGTCTGGGGACTCAGCTGAAAAAGGTCTTTGTTGTAGAAAAGAGTCCAGAGGAAAACAACACTTTCAGATGCATTATAGGTTCAATATTGTTTCAGGCAGTAATGTGGTACGATACTAAGATTTTACTGTTTCTCAATCCATCATGTGTTGTAACAATCAGCAGGTAGACTGTAGAACTAGGGTGTAAATTCCTCCAAAGAAATCAATGTGTTGACACACACGCAGCCTGAGTCGGGTTCAGCTTTATTGCTTGATGATGGGTCTGTTTTCTGTCTCAACGTGACCTAAAGACTCATTCTGATTTAATTTCACACGTGAAAATGTAAATGACTATTTATATTACATACACATAGTTTTGATTCACCGTTGTCTCTCGGAGCTACAGCACAACTTTAAAGTGACAGTGTAACACAGATTTTTACACTCTCACAAATCCATTTATCTGTTTTTTCGCTGCTCCGCCTTTCGCCCAGTGTCAGCTAGAATTAGCTCCCCCCACGACCCTTAAGGATAAGCAGTAAAGCTAATGCATGGCTGGATGGATTTTTCCAAGTTGAGTTTCTGCATTAGACACATTTGAGCCATAAAGTACCTGAGGCTGAATCCATCACTGATCTGCAGCATGAGGCCTGTGCACACTTGTACCTCCTGAAGCTAGCATTATTCAACTTTAGCTCTAACCACAGCAATATTTAGAGCATCTGGAGGGGTTCATGGCCTCAAGTTGTCGTCTTCCACTGTCGGCAGTTTCCTCTTGTGTTCACCGGGATTACACTACATACCCTGCAGACCTCCGCTGTATTAATACTGGCAACCTTGGCATCATTAATCCAGCGTGTTACAGGATTATATGATCCCAGTGACCATTGCATGACTTTAAGTGTAGCATTACATTCTGGGGCAGCACCTACCATAGCCGGAGGTGGGGGCATACAGATGTAGCTTTATTATAGCTAATCCAGAATGGGGGGAGCTAGCTCTCTGGTAGCATGACTGCTTGCTGCAGCGGTGTCTTTTAATCTTCACAGTCGAGTCATGCTAACCAACAGTGAGCTTTTAAAAGTCGAATCATTCGTAAAACGAAGTAGACAACCTGAAGACGCTGCAGTGTGTGGGTCTGTGTGTGGGTGGGTGGTTGGGTGTATAGACGTGGGGGCGGTGTATTCCCCCCCGATGTGTTCATTACAAGCGCAGTACTGTGGTTTAATTAGCTTAATCCTCTTTTTGAGTTATTATGACCATAAATCATTGAACATACATGTAGGGAGGGATTAACGTAGCGGAGACACCGGGAGGAGCAGCTGTAGAATGCCTGCACAGCATCAATACACTTACTGTCACACCGTGCACACCGGAGGCAATTAGAAACACCATTAAAGAGCATTCTGTGAGGAGTACGCTGAATATGTGCTGCAGCTCACCGCTACGTCTGCGATTGTATTCCTCTCTTCGTACCCAAACAATTTCTCCGAGCTGCGGCTCCGATGCAAATTCAAGGTTTATTCTACCCTTTTGAAAATGCTCAATTAGGGATGAGTTGTAACATTAATAGATGCATAAATTAATTCAGCAAATCTCGACAGTCCCGAGGCCGAGCCGCCGTGAGTGTGAGCCAGGGTTTTCCTGGCTCTCTGGCTGTTCTGTGCTCCAATCTCTTGGATCTGTAAAAACAGTAGATAGCTGTATCCTCCTCGTTATTCAAGCCGCAGTCCAACAGAATATACTCAACCGCTTATTTGGCTCAGAATACCAGAGGAGATAAGCGTTTTTGGATGGAGTGTAAAATCATCTTTTTAAAAGTATTAGTCACACCAAATGAAATCTTTGGGCGGTGCAGGATCTCAGTGTGCGGGCAACTTTTTCCAAAGCTGCCAACAGACCTTATAAAATATTTTGGTGTGCATATGTTAGATGTTAGTTCATAGGAATTAAATGAAACAGAGATGTGTGTAGTCGGAGTTAAATGGAAGCGTAACACCTCTAGAAGTAATGAAGGGAAATGTGTAGCAGTGTTTTGTAGTTAACAATTTCACTTGTAATATCCAAGGACCAAAACTACTCCACTTTGCTAGATTTCGGTTTTGGTGCACTCACAAATATGAAGCCAGGGCATCTTGACTGCCCCCTAGTGGCTGGATGCAAAAACGTCACCTCCTCCATGTTAGCGGATGGGACGTAGGCTAGCTACAAGTGAAGCTCAAGCTATGGCTTCCTGTTCTCGCCTTATTGAACACATTTCTGTGCTTGAGTGTTCAAAATCATGTAGTGTCAATTAAAAATGGAAGACAACATGACAGTTCCTCCAACGCAACATCAAAGTGTCTTTAACCCCACCTCCTCCATGTTAGCCGATGGGACGTGGACCATGAACACACTCACTCACTCACTCCTGCATATTCTGGACTGTTCTTACACATCGTTGTGAAGTATAATTATGAGATGTGTAGTTCAGGGGTCACTTCAGCTTGAGTCTTGACTTTCTATGACCTCAACCTCTGACCTGACCCCACTCTCAGAATATGTTCCACCACCCACCAGAGCTTCATATGGAACACACACACACACACACACACACATATATATATATATAACTCTATACTCTACATACACTGAATCCAACCTCCAACCTTCTCTCTCTCTCCTCTTGCTCATTCAGTTTGGGTTGCCAAGCAACTGCATCACACTCTTCCATAATTGGTTGGTGGCTGGTGGATTGTCCATGCCTGTTAATCTCTCTCTCTCTCTCTCTCTCTCTCTCTCTCTCTTTCACGCTCACCCACCCCCACCTCCCCCTCTTTCTCTCAGTTGCTAGGTGACTTTATCACGCATCCTTGCCTTGCCGTGCTATAATTGGCTGGCGTCATGGTTGCCGTGGCGTCAGGCCCGAGCTGGCCTTGCTTCATTCCACCAACACTATGTGTGTGTGCTTAGGGGGGGGTCCTATTGAAGGAAGATGGGGTGCTCTGGCCAATTACAGAAGACGGGTGTGAAACGGCCGCCTGTCTGGCACCTGCGGCCCCCACTCATACCCCGATATCTCACACACACACACACACACGCACACACAGGTTGAGAGTGTAGTATTCCTCCAACAGGCCCGCAGGATAAGCTGCCAAGTGGTTTGCTATTGTATGTAGAAAATATTGGTCCTGTATTCAGGCCGGACTGTGGAGGACTCTGTGCCGTGAATAGGAGGATTCACACACATGCACAAACGAACCCTGAACATCCAGCAGGAATCATTTTGTGGCTCTTTACAAAAAGTACAAATAATCTGTTGCAGAATCGCACAGTTCACACACACAGCTGCGCCAGAGGATTGTGGGCCTTAACAAAGATGTGGAACTTCCTGTTATGATTTCAACGAAGGGTATGTATGTGGATTAGAATGGCACGGCCGCACAACTCCGCCAAGGGTCCTATCTCACAATGTTAAAGAAAACAAAAGAGAAAATAAAATTCCTGTTTGTCCACATCCCAGCCCAAAGTGATTGCGTTCTTTCTTTGCTCGTGTCCCATCGTTCCAAGTTTGATGGAAATCTGTTCAGTGGTTTTTGCGTCTTCCTGCTGACAAACAAACAAACAAACACATAGGGATGAAAACATAACCCTCATGGGAAAATTCATCCATTAGAGGAGTAGACCCACACTTTCAATTCATCGCTCGGCTCATAGGAAACCCTCATTACTGCAGCTGATGTGTTTAAGACAGTCACGCTTCGGAACCTTTTCTAACAGCCCGTTATGGTTGTTTTTATTCTGTCAAAACCCGACACCTACGTTACCCACAATGCAGCTCAACCGGTGACAGTTTTGTCTTTGTTTTCCATGTGATGTGCCGGTAGCAGCTAATGTAGCCTCAAGCAGAGACGAGGAGTGTTGTGAGCTCACTGCTGCAAATTTTCATTGAGATTCAAAACACATGCAAATGGAAAAAAAAATGTATGTAAATATTTTCATGATCAAATTTGTTCTATTTTAAATGATTAAACTTTATATGTTATATATTCACACATGCAAATGGTACCTGTGACCTGTGGATTCATAAAAAACAAAACAACTGTGAACAACTCTAACGAGGAAGAGGTTTGACTTCACTTTCCTAAACCCTGGAATCCTCCGTCGTCTGTCCAACACATTCTCATCCGCACACAGATGATGAAACGTAGACGAGCTGGAAGACGAAGGTCTGTTTCCCGAAAAAACCCCACAATGTTGAGACAGAAACAAAACCCAAATCCCTGTTGGTGGAAACCAGCAACCAACTGCACGAGATTTGACTGGAGGATTTGAATATGCAAATCCTGGAGAGCAGAGCGCATGATGTGGAATTCATTTAGTCCCAGAACGAGCGCGTCACCCAGCAGACATTCTGTGTCTGCGGATGAAAGATGACTCCGTTCAAAGAGACGCAGGAACCAGGGGGGAAATACAGGGGACGAGGGCATAATTCACAGCTGGATGTTCTTGTAGCACATCATCTTTTACTTGTCGTTGCATCACCTTGCTCTCAGAGCTGCACCTGTGAAGGTGTTTTCTGTGTTCTGCTGGTCGGCTTCTTCCGGCATAATGATTAAATTAAAGTTCAGAAACCCATGTTCAGCCGTCCTGTTGGTATGTGATGGAGAAGTTCTGCACTGTGGTGTGACTGGGGATTTATGGGGGAGCAGAGAGAAAAATAATGAAAGTGAAAGCAGGAGGCTGCATCTGTTGATATGATATGTTGTGTATAAATCAGGAAATTACCAAAAGATTAAGTTTCATTCCTTCAACTAATTCATTAAACTGTCTGATGAGATCTGTTTAAAAATACAGCAGAAATCATTTCACTTCATTAGATGTCTGACATTTTTTTCAACTCTGCTTTTCTCAACTTATCTGAATTTCCCTTTTCAATTAAAAGCAAGGGACCGAGCTATCAATTCATGTCAGTCATCTAGCTGTTGAAAAAATAATAAATGTCCCACGAGATGGATGTTCTGACTCCGGATAAACACGTTTTCAGACATTGTGTTCCAGAGTTTGCCCGTGGCATATGAAGAATGCAGCAAGAGACTGTGAGAACCGTGACAGAGAAAATCATTTTTCGATTTTGTCTTTTTATTGTGCAAATTCAAAATGTCCCTAATATCCGAAGCACCTGTGAACACGCGCTTTTCTGATGTGTCCTCTGTGTTGTGAAATACTTTGTGTGTGTGTGTGTAATCTCACAAAGACAGGAGTGTGCTGTGATAGGAGTGAAGGGGCTGCTGGGACATCTGGTTAACTGACTGTAAGCTGAAGTATTAGTCCCCATTAAGAGTCATTAAGATCCCAATTATAGTTGCCACCCCTAAGTTCGCGCTCACACACACACACACACACACACAC